GCCTTTATTTTTATTTTTATTTTTTTGTCGTTACTCCTCACCCGAGGATATTTTTCCACTGATTTTTAGGGAGAGTGGGAGAAAGAGGGAAAGACAGAGAGAAACATGGATGTGAGAGAAACACATCAATTGGCTGCTTCCTGCACGAGCCCTGACCAGGGCCTGGGCCTGGGAAGAGTCTGCAACCAAGGTACGTGCCCTTGACCGGAATCGAATCTGGGACCCTTTGGTCCGCAGGCTGATGCTCTATTCACGGAGCCAAACCGGGTAGAGCCCAATCCAAGGCTTTAAAACAGAGGGTCTCTCCTACTGGCTCCCCCGACAGTGGTGCTGGGGTGCCTGCTTGCTCCATCCTCGGGAAAGCTGTCTTCTCCTCGCCTCCCAGTCATTTACTCAGAACTTCCAAACGGTCACGAGTGAAACAGCGCGCGTCAGTGTGCTCTGGCTGCTGAATAAGCAAAACACTGGCTTTCTGCTTGGAAAACACTCTCCACCAGGATGAAGCCTTGGCAGCCAACCCATTCCTGCTTCCCAAAGGCAGCCACTCATTGCGTGCCAGCCACGTCCCGACTCCCCGAGTCCTGGGGACCCCTCGCCCCCAGAGGCAAAGCCCCTTTACCGTATTTCTGCCTCCTTTACCGTATTTCTGACCCCTTTCCTAGAGTGCTCGTACAGAGAGATTTCAGCAAAGGCCCCCACATCTGCAAAACCCTCTGTCTGCCAGTGACACAGCAGAAGGGAGAGAGTGGGTTAAATGCAGATTCCAAGCTTAGAGCTCAAGACAGGTTTTTAGCTGAGACTTACGCATGCTAATTAGGAACCCCAGAGAGCAAAATAGTAAACGAACAGAAAGACGTTTAATCACTAGACCTAGAAGAGACTGTTTTCAAGAGAAATAATTCCAAACTGCCCAAGTTAATATCTATTCCTGAGTCTCCACATCACCAAAAAAGTACCCAAAAGTTCTTATTCTAAGAATAAGCACAAGATAACACCAACAGTGTTCTAAAGTAGTGGTCGCCAGCGGGTGGTCCACGGGCCCCTGGTGGTCTGTGAGGTCCGAAAGGTCCCAAGTGCATCACTTGTGAAGCACAAACCAACAAGATTCAGTAGTTTGCCCTGAAACTTTTCTTTAACATTCTTAAGGCCCAGATTTGTTAAGAGCTGAATTCTGATCCACTTAAGATAAATGCAATAATGTACCCGACATACATGTAAGCTGGGGTAGGGGTGAGGGTGAAGGTGATTCAACGACAGTGGTTATCTATCTATCTATCTAGCTATATAAAAGGCTAATATGCTAAGTGTCTATCCCGGTAATGACGGCACAGCTCCACCCGGCTTTCTCTCCCTAGTGACGACTAGCCTCCTTGCAGTTTCTTCAGCCCAGCAACACAGGTGGAAGTATTTCACACTTTAACCAAATGTCTGCGAAGCGTTTTCCCATGCCTTATCTCATTTGATCCTCACAGAAGACCTGGAGTAGGTAGATAGGAGACACAGTGGAATCCTACTTTATTTCATTAGCCGGAAAACGGAGATCTAGAAAGCTTAGAAACTTGGCCCGACTGAAAAGAAGAAATGGTGGACCTTGAAATTGACTTCAGGTTTTCTCACTGCTGCAGTTAAATATTTTACCCTTTGCTCTCCCTGCGTGATCTACAATAATAATCTGCTTCACGTGGCTATTTGCCGGAAACCGATCATTGTCTCTCTAATAGAAAGATGTAAGAGGCTGGTCAACCTTGAAGCTCTGAAAGGTCAGAGCCAACCACTCCCTATCTAATTGAGACAATGGTAACTGAGGCAACTTCCCCATCTTGTAATCACGTAAATCCTTATTGATATGACCTGTTTAAGGGTAATGGGTGTATCCCATTGTCTCAATAAAAGCAATAGCAAGGCCAGAGCCTAGCGGTAGTTCTCCCCCTGGAAGTGAGCTCCCATATCGCCAAATTAAATTTTTCCTAGTCTCTTTTCATTTGTGTTTGGCCTTCTCCAGAACCCAAACCCTGAACTGGAACCTTGAACTACGAGGGATGTGAAAGGGGTTCCCAGATATTTACTGCTGTGTTGCTGACAATTACCTGAAAGAGAAGTTGGGGTGCTTCACTGGGCTGAAAAAAGTTTAGCTATATCAGAAAGCAGTTTAATTAAGCAAGTTTAATATATATATATATATATATATATATATATATATATATATGGCTAAGATGACTCATACATGTGCAATACATATAAAGCTCTTGCTGGCACCAATCGAATATGTGATGTTTCCATTGTCAATCATGAATTTGGTTGACACTTCTATTATAGAGAAAGGGCCAATAGCACTATTAAAACATTTCTAATTAATTTCCTTTCAATGTGCACAAATTCGTGCACCAAACCACTAATCTATAAATAAGAAACTAAAAGGTATGTTTCACATTTATGCAAATGAAAATCACTTACGAGTTCAATTTCATGGACTGATTCAAGAGTTAAAAGACACAGTCTGGGGACAATGACTTCCTGACCAGTATTGTCCTCAAGTTCAGAAAGGAGAATTACAAAATTGCTGTGCCATTCTGAGTGAAAGAGTTACTGTTACATTTTTGAGACTATGAGTGTTATCAATGTACTCTACCATGACACTTTTAAACTTGTAGCCTGGTTCCAATTCCTTCTCAAGTTCATCGGTGACCACGTTTGTATTAGGACTGATCTATTTTTCTAACCTTGTAAAACAGTTACACATACCATACAGTGCGCCCTGCATTTGCTTTTAAATTTAGTTACCTCAAACTAAGACCAAGAGCAACATTTACCCTATCCTCTGCGGTTGGTGAAATTATGGGCACATACCCCTACAAATAGCATCTCCAACTATTTACCCTTATCACCCCCCAAACAGAATGCAGTAACACTATCTGAGTGTGCCAACAGGGAAAGTTAAAAACAACTGACAGCACTATTAGCAGGCACTGAAGAAGTTTTTGAGAAGGAAAATAACTGCTTCGTCTAATCAATGCGACATCCTTTAGAGGCATACATAATTAGTGCAGAAAAAAGGATGCAAAACGCTCCAATTCATCACAATTAAGTGAAGGACTGGCCCTTCATGGGGTGGAACGCCTGGCAACTCCATGTAATCCTGGACATTAAGCATCAGGTTAACACAAGGCTGACAGTTCACAAAGAAGAAGAAAAAAAAAAAAAAAAGGAAAGAAAAATGATCATTTACCTCTGGCTTACCAACACATCTAGTTTGGTGATATTTCTCCAACTGAATTTCAAAATTCAGTTCCATCACCATTATTAACTTCAGAAAGAACTCTAGAGAGCATCCTCAACTGGCAGAAAGCATTCAGACTAATTTGCAGCACTTGGCAGGCAAGATGGAACCCAGAACCAGCAGAAATCTCTCCTCCTAAAATTTAGGACCTGGGAAAGGGGGTGGCTGCCTGGCCCCAAACATCCCCAGCTCCGGAATCAAGACACTCTGAATGGCTCGGTGGTTGAGTGTCAACCTATGAGCCCAGTAGCTCCAGGTTCGATTCCAGGTCAGGGCACATGCCCAGGTTGCAGGCTCAATCCCCAATGGGGGGCATGCAGGAGGCAGATGATCAATAATTCTCTCATCGCTAATGGTTCTCTCTCTCTCTCCCTTCCTCTCTGAAATCAATAAAAAATATATATTTTTAAAAAAGACACCCTGACTGCCAGGCTGCAGCTGCAAGTGGAGGCAAGGAGGGGGTCTCAGGAGGGGCAGGGGTGGGGCCCCGTCGACCTATCTGGACCTACCTCCTGCAGCAGCCTATGCGTTCCTGCAGTTGTGATTCATTAGACCAGAGCTACACGCACCCTGGTCTGAGGAGCAAGCGGCAAGCTTCTCAATGCTACAGAGGGCTCCCAAACCTCAAATAAGCCAGCCCAGGAGAATCCATCTGGACAGAACGGCCTGCTTTCCGAACTTCCCCCAGTGCCGTCTCCCGCGGCAGAAATGGGTATGGCTTGCTCGGAGCGGAGTGGTGCTTTGTGGCACTTACAGACGGTGCCAAGCTCCAGGGCAGATGTCCTATTTTCATCACTGAGGTTCAGAGGCCTTCACAGCCCTGGGGTTCCCCCTTACCTCCCCATCTCCCCCTCTCGCCAATTCACTTAAAGCTGTAAAGGAAGCCGCTCTGTCCTTGGCCCCGTCCCCAGGCACCCACAAGGTCCTCTGGAGGGTGTGCACAAGAGGAGCTGGGCTTCCTGCAGCCTCAGCTCTGACACTTCCAGGCAGCAAGGCCTCTGCTCTCAGTTCATGGCTGTAGGTGCCCAGCAGGCAGGTCCTGCTGGCACAGCAGCCTCGGGCATAGCCAAACCCTCTGAAGAGGGGGAAAGGATGGGGGGATGGGGGTGTTGTCTGCACAGATCTCTCTCCCACCCAGGACTGTAGGCCCCGGACCAGGGTAGGGCTTCTGGGGTGGAAGCAGCCCCAGCCTGAGCCCCCTTCTCCTTCCTTAGGATTTTTTTGCCTGAGCCCTGCCAAGCCCTGGAGCAGTGCATTCACTGACCATCTCTCTCCCTGTCCCTTGCTGGTGACTTTGGCCACGTTGCTTCCCCTCCCTCGGCCTGACGCCACCTACTTCTCGGGTTATGACAGGGTCAGGATGATGTGGAAAGCATCTAGCAGGCTGCCCGACACGCAGGAAGGGCGGCAGATAGGGAGGCCATCCCTCTTCCTCCTGGGTGGGGTCGCTCAGCCCCCTCTGCCCACCTCTGGCCTCCAGGGGATCAGCATCCGGGCATATAGGGCACACGGAGGCTGCACACCCCCAGGTCCCCCATTCACCCGGGAGCTGGGGGGTCCCGGAGGGGGTGTGGCTTGGCAACCCCAAACAAACATCCCGGCTCCGGAATCCAGGCGACCAGACCAGACTGCCAGGCACGCGGAGGCCCCGGGGGTCCCCGGGGAGGGTTCCCGCGGGGGGGGGGGGGGGGGTGGGGGGGGGAGGGCGCCGGCCGCGACCTACCTCCTCCAGCAGCGTCACGGTGTTCCTGCAGTTGTGCAGCCGCGTGGTGAAGCTGGACGTCGTGGGCGAGTTGTAGTCCTCGGTGGTCTCGGCGATGAACTCGGACACGGAGATCTGGTCCGGCATCCTGGCGTGGGGGGCGAGACACAGGCGCGGCGTGAGGCAGGCGCGGGCTCCGGGGGCCGCGGGCCGGCCGGCGGCTCATGAACGCCCCGCGCAGCCCGCACCCGCGCCCGGCCTGGCGCGGCTCCCGGCGGCGGGAGGAAGGGCGGGCGGAGCAGCGGCGGCGGCGGGAGCAGCGGGCGGCGGCGGCGGCGCGGGGCGCGGGGCCCTTCAAACTCCGAGCGGCGCGCGAGGCAGGGGGCTCCTGGGGACCCGCCTCCCCGGGCGCATGCCGGCGGCGCGGCTCCTGGGCGGCGGGGGAGGGGACGGGGCGGCGGGATGCGGAGGGACCCGGCCGGGCAGCTGCGGGGCGGCCGGCGCTGCCTCCCCAGACGCTCTGACAGGCGGCGGCGAGCGCAGCGACCGACTGACTGGCGGAGCGCAGGCTCCCGCGGACGGCGGCCAGGCTGCGGGCGGCGGCGCTCCCGCTACGGTCACGGGGACAAACAAGGAAGTGCTCTGCGCACGCGCCGGCCGCCCCCGAGGCCACGCCCCTCCACCCCCGCTCCGCCCCCGCCGCCCGCGGCCACGCCCCCGCAGCCCCGCGGCCACGCCCCCGCCGCCCGCGCGCGCCGCCTCCCCGGCCAAGTTCAGACGCCGGCGCCAGCGGGGCCGCCCCCAGCGCTGCCTGCAGCGAGCTCGTTCCGGAGGCGCGGGGCAAGAATTGGGACCGAAAAAAGTTGTGCGCGATCTTTTTTGGTCCCACGTGGGTGCCGGAAGCGAGCGGGGAGCGTCACCTCCTGCCGCGGGGCCCGAGGGGCGCGGGGTGGCCTGGGCCCAAGCGAGGAGCCAGCCGGCTGCCAGGCTGGCATCTATCTGCCCGCTGGGCTGGCCGGGCTCCGGTCCGCATTCCCTGTGCGGGGCTCTTGCCCGCCGCCCTTGGAAGGCCAGTTTGTGCAGTTGGCTTAAACTCGCTCAGGTGCCGGATGAAAACAAATGAGAGGGTTTTGATTTTTTTTTTCCTAATCTTTCGTTGCCCCCCCCCCCACCCCCTTTTTTTTTAACCCGGAGGAAAGATCAGGGTCATGAGGTGTAAAACGCATTTCCTGAGGCGCAAATGGTGTGCAACACTAAGCAGATGCCAAATGTCTGCGGAAAAAGTACCAACAGATTGCTCATTCCTCGGCCCCGGCAGATGGCTATTTTTTTTCCCACTGGCTCAATCTACTTAGTCCAATGAATCCATTTAATTTCCCACCATTGATTGCCAATGAAATTGGTTCAAAAGAAGAAAAAAAACCTCACCTAAGCCCGTGGTCGGCAAACTGCGGCTCGCGAGCCACATGCCGCTCTTTGGCCCCTTGAGGGTGGCTCTTCCACAAAACACCACGGCCTGGCCGAGTCTATGTTGAAGAAGTGGCGTTAGGAGAAGTTTAAGTTTAAAAAATGTGGCTCTCCAAAGCAATGTCAGTCGTTGTCCGGTTGATATTTGGTTCTGTTGACTAAGGAGTTTGCCGACCACTGATCTAGGCCTTTGGGTAGCAACACAAGATTGGCTCCTGTCATGGGAGCCACTGGGAGCTTTCCATAGCCACTCAAAGCTCACCTCAGCCCTGGCAGGTAGAGCAGTTGGTTAGCCGAGTCATCCCCTTTAACCCAGGTTGAGGTTACATCTGGGATGAGGGCACATACCAGAGAATGACGCTACGCGAAACAGCCAGTCAGAGAAAGACAAGGATCGTGCGATCTCACTTATATGTGGAATCTAACGAACAAAATAAAATGAAGAACAAAATAGATCCAGAGACATGGAGGACTAGTGAATTCCAGAGGGAGGGGTTGCAGGAAGAGATTAACCAAGCAACTTACAGGCATAGTGAGTGAAGGCCTAGGGAGGGAGCAGGAGGGGGTGAGGGCTGAGGGGGTAGTGGAGAAGGTCAAGGGGGATGGTGGTGGGGAAGACATCTGTATTACTTTCAACAATAAAGATAAATTATAAATAAATAAATAAAATGGGCCAAAAAAAAAAAAGGAATAAATGCATAAATGGGAAGCATCGGGTCAATGTTTCTCTCTCAAACAAAAACATACCAAAAAACCGCCTCTTCACCCAAATCACCCTAATGCGCCCCCTGAGAGCAGAAGGCTGGCTCTGTGGCCACACCCCAGATTGTGTTCCTGCTATCTTTTTTTTTTTTTTTTTTTTTTTTTTTTTTACAGAGAGGAAGAGAGAGAGCTAGAAACATCAATGAGATAGAATCATTGATCAGTTAGTTGCCTCTTGCACACCCTGTACTGGGGATGTGCCCGAAACCAAGGTACATGCCCTTAACCAGAATCGAACCTGGGACCTTTCAGTCCAGAGGCTGATGCTCTATTCACTGAGCCACACCGGTTTTGGCTGTTCCTGCTATCTTGATCCATTAAGCGTGTCCTCTGGTCTTTAACCCCAAATTACAGTGGAGTGCCCCCCAGGCAAGGGGCCTTGCTTTTTGCATTGGGCCTGGGGCAGTCGTAGCCAAGAGGGTGTCAAATGAAAATGAGTAACTCACTTACTGTTCATACATCTGGAGGGCCCTGGCCCACACTGGCGAGCTTACCTTAGGAGGGAAACAGCCAGCCTAAAAATGCCAGAGAAAGTGGATTACAGGTGGAGTCAGAAAGTGACGGAGGTGAGCGGACTGTTCAGACGGGGCCTCGGCGATAAGGTGACCTCTGGAGCAGAAAAGGAACTGAAGGGCTGAATCCCATTGATATCCGGTTGGCGGAGGGATCCTGGCCTTCAGTGGCCTCACGTGAAGAGGAAAGATAAGGGCGCCAACCCCAGGAGGCTGCTGAATGCTGGTGGGTGAGCAAGTGCTTTGTGCACAGGAAAGCCATTGTGAGTTTGAGGTGCTGTCTCCTGCAGCCGAAGGTTCTATGACTGGAAGCACACCTGGCCCCAACGAGCGTGGGCTAATTAAGTCCCGTGAGTCTCAGCAGCCCCATGCTGCCCGGTGGAGCAGGAGAGAGCACAACAGCGGACACTCAGACTTCCGTCCACTCCATGAGGGCTTTCCTCCAGGCTGGAGATCAATTAAAATGCCATTTGACTTTGCATTTATTCTATTCTTCCCTCTATTCCACCCTGTCACCTAAAGCCTCCCATCCCTTATGTATGGTGTGTATAGCAAAAGCCATACAACGGCTCAGTCACTATGAACCGTTATTAAAAGCCAAGAGTAAGTGACTACCGTAACTGCCTCCGTTCCAGGAGCCCTGGATTCCAGAGCCTCCTTTCCTCATAACAGATGCTGTCGCCTTGGGCCCTGGTGCCATCGCTTGTAAAATAAAGGGGGATGTGTCAAAATGACGACACAGATCCCTCCCCCCGGGGAGCTGAGTCTGTGCACACCCTCGGCTCTGCAGACACAGGATATAAGGGTGCTTACAAGCTACGCTCACTGCGATGATAAACAGCTGAATTCACCACAGAGCCCAACCTTGCAGCCATCAATTGGTGTTTCACTTTCATTTGAAGATTATGTTATGTATCTGCTCCCCCCCCATCTCCTCCCGCCAAGAAGGATATGTGTGAGCAATGTGATACTGTGCCCCAGTCAGAGTATACCGCCTCCGCCTGCCTGGCCCGCCATTCGAATTTCAAAGGTTCACACCGTATCTGGGGTTCAAGGGCCATGATCCTCTTTAGATTGGAAATCAGGCCCTGTTGCAAACCATCCGCACCTCTCACCTTCTCAGGTGCCCTGACCATGGCCATGCCTGGGTATCTGAAAGCGATGAAAACAGAGTCTGATGTGAGCAGAACTGAAAATGCTGGGTGTTGGCGTGTGCAGCTGCTCAGAACAGACATCATGCTTCCCAGGGCCAGGAACACACATGTACACATGCACACACGCATACACACAAAAATACGTGTGTGGTGTATAGCAAAAGCCATACATGTCTATTAAGCACGTGTCATCTCCCTGTCATCTGCATAATCCCCACCCAAGAGTACTGGGCACCTTGGACTCTGAGCGCCAGTTCTTCCCTCTGAGCGTCTCGGAGGGGGATAAGACAGCGGCGTGGTCCCTGCTGAATGGCTTTCATCTCATTGAAGAGGCCTGAGAATAGTGGCGGCTTATTCTCAGGGACAGTGGTTGACAATTGGTGCCACGGTTACCGGGGAAGAGTTCCAGTTGCAGACGTCCCTCTCACCCATCTGCCTAACACAGTGGTCGGCAAACTCATTAGTCCACAGAGCCCAATATCAACAGTACAACGATTGAAATTTCTTTTGGGAGCCAAAAACCGACTTCTGCACGTGAGCCACGAAGTTTCAGTCGCACTGTATGTGTGCGCCCGCACGTGGTATTTTGTGGAAGAGCCACCCTCAAGGGGCCAAAGAACCGCATATGGCTCGAGAGCCGCAGTTTGCCGACCACTGGCCTAACGAGCAACCAAGGCGGTGCACTTACAAGATGACTGACAATGTGGCAAGAGTGAAGTGTCGGGGTGGGAGCTTGGGTTGCTAGGATCAACAGTGCTCGCTGGCGCCCCTGGGCTGATGGGGTGGAATTACAGCCCTCGTCAAAGGATCCCAATGTCTTCATGGGACAGCAATGGGGAGTGCAGGCAGAGAATATATTTTGTGTCACATGGACCTTGGTTGACATCTCTCCTGTGTCGCTTATTTAGCCTTGTTTGCTCATCCGCAAAATGAGGGTAATAAGAAAACCATGCTAAAAGGGGGTTACATGACATCTAATGAATAGCCGTGGCCAAAGCAGATGATGCACCGTGAATGATCAACCAGAGTTAGTTCCCTCTGAACTTCCTTTCCATGTGAAGTTGGACTATAAATACATCCCTTGGCATTCCAGGACTCAGAACTGTCTCTACATGAGTCACCTGGAGGAGGAGAGGAGAGGAAGGGGGAGGCGGCACAGCAGTTCCCAGGGTTTGGGATCTCGGATTAGGGAGTCGTTTTCCTAGACCTGGCTGATTCCTGTAAATCCCCTTTGTGACATGGATCCATGAGCA